CTCTCTCTCTCCCTCTCTCTCTCTCTCTCCCCCTCCCTCCCCTTGCAATGTCCCAAACGAATGAATCCCTCAGGTGTGTGAGCGTGTCTGCTAAGTGTCCAGCTGGGAAAAAATTTTAAAAAAAAATTATGGACACGTTAGACAAAGTGTCCAACATGTGTCCATCATGTGTTTGCCGCATGCCCGTGTCCGACACCCATATGCTGCCTTCGGAGAGGTGTCCGTGCTTCATAGCATATGCACAATAAGTTGGATCCAGAACTCACAAACAAACAAAATACACACATACATACATGCACAGAGAGAGAGAGAGAGAGAGGGAGAGAGTACAGGAATTTCATGTAAGAAGAGTTACAACCAAATAAATCTTTTTCCTTAGTATGGGACAACTGATGGTAATGTCTAAAGATAAGAGAAAGATCTACAAATGATCATTTTTAAGCAGGAAAAATTGAATGAAAAAGCTTCAGGTAAATAATCATTTAGTTTTGACTCTCTTGAAAAAATCACAATTCCAAACAAACAAACAAGCTAACGAGCACTGATATTAATTGTGTCAACACAAGCACTCATGAACGATCAAGAGATCAACTATCACAACAATCTATTGAGGCCATTTTTCTCCATCGATAATGGACTAATTGACTGCCACATTCAATACATGATTCCATTTTCCTAGATATTAGATATTTTCATGCAGTGATGAGGACAAGGAAACAAAAAGAGGAGCACAAATAATAAATTAAATTATGAAGAATGCTTTGGCTCAAACGATAACAGTCAAACACACTGTAAGAAATAATGTATAGAGAAAGAGAGAGAATAAATTGTATGTATTATTATTGATTGATGTAATGTTCTTTCTTTTACAATGATTCATGATTCCTATATATAGAAGAGGGTGAGTGTGTAGTGGGTGAGGAGTAGGTGAAGTGGAGGTGGTAGTGGTGTAGTGGGTTAGGTTTAGTGGAGTAGGTGAGATGGTAGTGGTGTAGCGGGTTAGGTTTAGTGGAGTAGGTTTAAGTGGGTGAAGGTTTAGTGGAGTAGGTGAGGTGGTAGTGGTGTAGTGGGTTAGGTTTAGTGGAGTAGGTTTAAGTGGGTGAAGTAGGTGGAGAGTAGGTGGATTTTAACACACACACACACACACAAGAAAAGGAAGAGAAGGAAAAAAAAAAAAAGAAGACGACTTTAAGACGAATGGTACAGGTCAGACATTTAGACAGGGAATCGCCAAAATTTGTGATTTTTGCTAGCTTGATTTAGTTATCCTATAGGACGCAGAGAGTGGGTGGGAGTGTTTGCATAGTGTTTGGGAGTTCAGTAATCAGTCAATGATATGATATAGACTAAGGTAAAGTTACAAATGAAAATGGAAAAAAAAAAAACAAACAAACAAACAAACAAAAATAAAACTGTGCATTACCTTGTGACTAGTTCAAGTTTCAACTATAACTACTAACCAAAACCACGCAACCAGGAACAGAAAAAGGGAAAGGGAACCAGAGTGAACCTTTTAGAATAGAATCAATAAAGCAGCACTTGAGACAGCTTCTAGGTGTAGTAATTAGTATGTCATATCTAAACTTTTATACTGTAGACTTCCCATTTTTGACCGACCTTAAGATTCAGACGTCATCGATTGAGCGCTCGGTGATGGTGCATATTGTGCTCGTTCTGAAGTTTCGGAATTTTGACTGAGAGCCTTGCCTCCGGGCCTCTGAACTCTTTGTGCTTTGACTCGGTCTGCGGACCAAGTCTTGTTTTCCCTTTCCGGAGGGAGGGAGTGGTCTTGTAGACCATCTCTCTGTGGTCGTAGACTACTTTTCGTGGTCGTAGGCCACTTTTTTCGTTTGGAGCCTAGTTTCCGGTTTTTGGAGCCTTTGGCCGCGCGCCTTGTCTCGGGACCGCTTAACATTCTCCGTTTGGCATGGTTTTTAAACCACACCTTGTTGCCTCTGCCTAGAGGAACACTGTGGTCCGGGAGACCACTTTTGTGGTTGCGTACCACTTTTGATGCTCGTCAGCTAGTTTTCGGGGCTTTTGGCCACGTGTTTCGCCTCCCGATTTCTCGTCTTGCATCCGCTTTGGTTTGTTTTTGGTACAAACCTTGCTTTCCTTGTTTGGAAGGTGGTACAAGGGTGGGAGACCAGTATTTCTCCTGGCCGACCACTTTTCCTTTTTCCAGCTAGTTTTCTTGTCAGATAACTGTTTTTCTTGGTCTTTAGACCATCTTTTCTGGTCGACCACCACACCACCACCTTGCATTTAGTGTGTTGACCTCTCCCACCTATGGCCGACCAGTTTCTGCTCTGGTTGACCACCTAGAGTGGTCGGTCGACCACTTTTATTAGCAGGCCGACCACTTCAAGTGGTCGGTTGCTTTTTGGCACATTTTTGAAGATATTTTAGGACAGCTGGCACAGCTGGAGAGCATTTGAGCCATCCTTCATACACGTGTATGAAGGGATGGCATTCAAGCTTAGCTTCTCCAAGAAGCTTTGACTTTTCTCTTCTATAAGAGGGAGGCTCCTCCTCCCTCATTCAGGTTCAGAAAATCTGAGGAAAGAGAGTTACATATAGCTTTGTCTCTATATCACTCTTGTTCTTCATTTTTGTGTTCAAAAGTGTAGATTTGTCTTACTTTAACACACAAACACACACTCAAAAACCATTCTTTTGCTACTAAGGTGCTTAGGGGCTGATTTTAGTGTTTTTGGGTTGCCTTGAGCTTGAAAAACCTGCTGGAGTTGCAGTTATAAAGAGGGTCTTCAAGGGTGAGCTTTTGACCTTTAAATCCCCCTTTCTTGCTTAAGCTTTTAGTCTATCTTTCATGCTGTTTTAAACTTAGCTCATAACTGATAAAAGTTCTGTTTTTGCATGCTTAAAAAGTTTGTTTAAGATCACTTTTGTGTTTGGGGTTGTTTACCCCCTCTTAAGCCTTGTTTTGCCTTGTTTTTTAGCCTTTTTTGTGAGTTTCGGAACGACTTTGTACTGGCCTTCTCACTGGATTTCAGTGGTGGGGATGGCGTTTTAAGGTCCTAAGAAGGAGAGGGTCATCCCCTCTCCTTGTGTCTTCTTTACTTGCCTTAATATGCCTCATGTTTGAGCACCTTTACTAAGCTTGTGTTAGCTTGTTCTTAGCATGTATTTGTGGTTATTTTGCTGTGGCATACCACTGTTTTTACTTGCTTTGGTCACTCCATGCATGGTTAATACACTTGTAGTGTAAATCACACAAACTAGCTTTGTATGCTTTATGAAGTAGCATGTCATTCTAACTTGTTTTCTTTCCATTTCAGCATGTTTTTAGTGATGTTTTGCCATGTCATGACTCTGTTTTGTTTTGATTTGGATTGGTTAGCCTTTGCATGCTCCTTGCACTTGTAGTGCATTTCCATGAAATAGCCTAACATGCTTCATGCTTTGACATGTCTTTTTAGCATGCTTTTGGCTTAACTTCATGAAACTTTTATCCATGTTTTAACATGCTTTAGCTCTGATTTTGGTTGTCTTGGTCATGCATGACTTGCTTTGTATAGCTATAGTTCAATCTAGCTTGTTAGCTTTGTACACCAAGTCCACTGGTATGCTCTACTTGGCTTATTTGAATAATTTGGCATCACTTGTTATGTGATTTCAGTCCATGTCACATTTGTCACACATTCAATGCGTTGGAGGGTTTCCCCCTTTATGCCTTAACATGAATCATTGTGTATGCCTTCATGCCATAACTTGCGAGCTATCATTTCAGTGCTTATTTGGGGTTATTTTGCCATGATATAACTCTGATTTTTATTGCTTAAGTCATTCCATACTTGGTCTTAATAGGTGTAGTGTAATCCGCCTTATTTGCCTTGTATGAATCATGCCTTATGCCCTTCATGATAGCTTGTTTTGGCCTACTTCCATGCATGTTTTAGACTCATTCTAACATGTTCAAGGACTGTTTTGGGTTGCCTTAATCACATGCTTCATGTTTTGTATACTTGTAGTACAAATGCTCTTGCTTGCCTCAAGCTTTGAGCACCATTGCATGCTTCATTTGTGTTGTGTACATGATTTGACATCACTTAACATGACATTTCAGAGCTTATAGCATGCTTATGTTCCCACTTCATTCATGCTTTAAATGCTTTTAAGGGTTATGCATTATGGCCTTGTTATGGCCTTAGCTTGCATGCTTGCATGCCTAGGCCTTTGGGCCCTCATCTCAACATGTTTAGGTCCTTGTTTTGACCTACTTGAGCTCTGTCCATGCTTAGTTCATGCATATGTGCCATGTATTGCATGCCTCCTTTGTATTGCTCTTTGCTAGCTTTCAGGCCTTAAGACCCTAGCATGCTTTACTTATGCTGTTTGAATGATTTGGCATCACTTCTTGCTTCATTTCAGTACACTTAGTGTTGTTACACTTCCACTTTTGTTACTCATCGAGCACTCTTGAGAGTTGTGCTCTTTGGCCTCTTTGATGGCCACTGCATTGTGCATGCATGTCTTGCTTTATGTGCCTTCATTTCATCACCAATGGCCACTGATTAGGGCATGACTGAGGTCTACCCCTTTTAGTTTAAGTCCATTGAACATGCCATGTATACTGCATTGAGTATGCCACATTGTTCATCGCATTATGTATGTCTTGTACTTTGCATTGTGCAAGCTTAGTTTACATCATTACATTGTGCATGCTAACTGATATTTGTATTGTGTGTGCATGTCCCTAACATTGCTAATTTGTCCTTGTAGCATTGCATTGTGCATGCACGCATTAGCATTGTTCGCATGTCATTAGCTTTGTTAAGTTAATCAGGTTACATTGCATTGAGCATGCCAAAGAGGGACGTTTCATACTTAAAGTGATGAAACGTACCTTAATTCCCGGTCGCTGACGCTCTTGATCATACATGATAGAGTTTTAGGCTTTATGTGTTTACTTGTACATTCATTTTCATATTGAATTATGCAACTTTGCCTCTCGGCCATCATGCATGAAAATGCGCAATTGGTGGCCCGAGAGTCGAGAACCACACTCCCTTGAGTTCATAACATGATAGGGAAGGGTGGTTGTGCACACATATCTTGCAAATACACTCTGTTGCAGCAAATTACAGTTCAGAAGCAACAACTGGTCGGCCAGCCAGAAAAAGTAGCTGGCCGACTACTTTTCTTGGTTTTCAACAACAAAAAGTGGTCGGCAGGTGTTTCTAGGGACCAAAAGTGGTCGGTCACCCTCCCACAGGATTCCTAAGGTGGGGTTTCATCTTTTTGAAGCTTGATGCAAGTTTCTGAAAACAAATGAAAACATAGACAAATCGGGGCATCACATTGGATTTCCGAACGAGGCGACCGAGCATGCATCCAGTCTTCTCCCTCCGAGAACCTCCTGCTTTACTGCTTTCCTTAGCTGCCATGCTTAGATAGCTAGCTTTTGCTTTGGTTTGTACTCTTAATTAGTTAATGCGTCAGCTATTCGATTCGTTTTGTAATAATTAGTTAACTAGGATTAGTTAATTAATTTGTTGTGTAATAATTAGTTTAATTAGCTTAGATTAGCTAATTAGCTTCTTATTCAGTCCTTCCTTCGAGAGGGCGTATTGTTGTAATAAGCGTGCGTGTGTGTGATGCATGTCTTCAAATCCCCATTTCTTTCTCCCTTTTACTTAACCGCTTACTATGGTTAGTTTTAGGACATATTTCATTTAGCATACCTTATGCTTGCATGTCTGCATCCATTCATGTGTATTGTATGCACTGGGCACGGTGCATCATACTAACTGCATTGTATTTCAATTCCAATTAGAATACATGTACCAAGTTGCATCTCACATGACATTCTTAGGATAGCCGAGCCTATCTTAATTGCATTTTTATATGTGTTGCATTAGTCATTTTAACATGAACTAAGATCATGCATTGATTTCTAACTAGTTCCTTGTTTTGGCTTGGAGTACACTGTGAGTGTTTACGCTTTAGCATACTGCATGTGTGTTAATGTTGCCATGTTAAGCATGCTTGCCATGAGGCTATTTGCTTACGTGATTAACTGCCTGAATGCCTGTGGATGAAGGTTGGATTACTTGAATTGGGACAATTCATTGAAATCCGCATTTTAGCCTACTTACAAGTAGCAAACCTCAAACCATTTTCCAAACTAACAGATATGCGATGTTTTGTTTCAAATTAGGCGATCTAGTTTATACTTATTTGTTGTGCGCATCACATAGTAATTCTAGCTAATTAACCGGAATAAGAGTACATGTGTTTTCAAAAATAAGATATCATGCTTAGTACAGGCCGATCTTTGATCGAGCAAGCGGGGGTGCTCATTAAATGACCTCCCCCAATCGTACCCAAGTTCCCGAGCCGAGGCAACTTTGGTGATGATGGACACATGGCCTTAGGCACAACTCAGGGTTTCCTAAATTCTCCCAAAATAAAATATTTAGGTGGCGACTCTGTATCTGGCAAAACAGTCTATGTTTGGCACTTCTTTACAAAAATCAGTTTTCCAAAACGATTTGCCGGATTTGGACTCTTTAGTGATTTATCAATCTCACATCGCACATTGTGAGATCAGATTAAGAACTGTGACATTTGAGTCCGAACTATAGCATGAAGCCCAATAGCGCGCCTACATGTACTTTGACTACACATGATGCTTTTGTAACCTAATAATACAAGAATGACAGAACCTAATTTATGTGGTCAAACTAGTTAGGGTAGAGAGTCTACAGACAAAAAGTAATCAATAGGAAACTAGGACGTCATCATGCAACAATTGGATTACATATAATGATTCATGCATAAAATGCATACATTCTACCAAAAAATAAACAAAAACAGATACAAGAAAAAATTGAAACATATAGGTAAATTTTCTGAATTAGATTACATATATGTTGTATGCATTTGACCCAAAGCTATTTTTCATAATGAGGAAACCATTCAATATCAAACAAAAAGTTCCAATCTGGTAACAATCCCATACTACTGGAGCAAGGAATAAATTATCATATCCAAACCCACATTTAGAGAATAAATGAGCTGATAATGAAATTTCTCTGGAGGAATCAACGCAATAATGGAAGCACCATACAATCCATTTGAAACAATAAAAAAAACAAACACAATACATTGATATCTTACCGCCATTATGTGAAAACAAATCTAAATGCTAAACATAAATTCCCTACTAGCAATCCACATAAATTTGGATTTTGGAATGATTACAAAGCCACACATGAAAGGTAAAACGACATTTTTATGGGAAAAAGATCCCAGAGAAGACATAGATTAAACAAACAACAAAATGAAATAAGCATACCTCAATTTTATCCATGGAGCGAAGAATGTCTTGTTCATCGTACAACATATCTTCAACTGAAACTTTGCTCACTTTGACATAATCTGATAAAAGCAACTTATAGATTGCCTTTGTTGCATGAGTCATAAAAACTCGCCCTTTAAATGTGGTCTACATAACAAACCATAAAATTTTAGCATCTACAAGAATCCCATAAGAATTAATTGAACAAAAGCTACTCAAGAAAGCAACAAACCTTGTCCAAAAAATATGGCAGGGAAGCAGCATGATCTAAGTGAAAGCTGCAAACAGAAAACATTGCCATTAGTGCATCAACAGCACCAAAAAGAAAAACTGAAAAATCAATAATAAAATTAGGATAGTTCCGATTAAGATAATAAATAAATAAAAAATATGGTGAAGAAGCCCCCAATGAAACCATCAAAACCAAACCTTCAGAATGACTAATATGTGATCTAATAATCCTGTCACTAACATTTCTGGTGCTCAGAAAGAATCTCAAACACCACCAACAATCACCAATATTGAGAAAGAAAAAATAAATAAGACCTTCACAACACAGAAAGAAAATTTTGTATTTGCACAGAGTCTAAATCAATATACAAGTAATCCCATAACCATCATCTCATCTTAATGGCATCATAAATAAGTAACAAGCACACTGTAAAGAATAATAAAATCTTGTTACTTTCACCGAAAACCAATATTCCAAAAGAAGAAAGGCAATACAGCCTTTGAAACACTCAAACCATCAGGAATCTTTGTCCTTTCACAAGCCCTCCCCCTCTTCCCCAAAGAGAGGGAATATTTTATTGTGCCCCTCTCAACCATTCTACCAATATCTAAAAAGGACGTTTTGCCCATGCACCATCCAAGCAAAACTTTTTCATGTCCACCACCACCACCTCCAATCAAGCATCTCTGTGCAGTGGTTGCATGGCCAAATTTTCTATATGAGCATGCAACGCCACCATCATTGTGACAAACTTTTCCAAAACTCATTTTCATTATAAAAAACAAATAATTCAAAAACTCTAAAGTGCAGTAATATACCTTATACAATCATTTCTTCAGGCAACCATTCTCCCCTTATCTTTTATTTATTTATTTATTTATTTTTCTTGGGAATTTCTAATAGACAAAGTGCAAACATTGTGCATTGCATTTCAATTTCAACTCTCAATAAAACCACCCGAACTCAACAAACCCATCCACTCACTCAACTTAACAAATCATGTTAGCAATTGACTAATCACAACTCTCAGAGTTAACAGTTCAATAAAACAGTTCAACATGAAATAGCAATTTCTATTGAAAAAAAAAAAAAAATAGAACAATCTTTTCAATTCAGCACTTAATTAGCTGGCTAATACAGTAAACCCAACTATAGAAAGGAAGGAGGCCGTGTCAAGCACAAGATTTTAAATAAAGTATGAAAGAATAAGAAGCAGAAGTACATACTGAGTGACAAGAAGCACATCAATGGTAGAAGGATCAATTTCGTCAAAATACGGCAAAGCAGCCATGCCCGAGTAAGCAGGATGAATCCCACAATCAAACTACTTGAGTGAATAGAAAAGAAAAAAAAAACAAACAAATATAAATATATTAATAATTAAATAAATAACCCAATGAAACTCAAAAACTCAGAGTGGGGTTGCAATATACCAGAACAGTTTTCCCTTTGTAAGACATGTAAACGCAGGACCGACCCACTTCATTGCCAGCACCTAAAGGGGTTATAATCAGCTGATCCCCTTCTCTTGTTCCAGATGAATCACGTTTCTTGAGAGACGATTGTGGTTGTCCTGTTGAAGCCATTCTCTTCAACTCACTTGAATCACTTTCGTTGCTGCCAAGAAACAAATTCAAAATTAGTACAAGTTGAATTCCAATCCAACACACCGTACAAGCTTTTAAAAAAAATAAAAAAACTAAAACTTCAAGTTTCCGATTGAAAACTATGATCAACAGGGTTGAGTTGGATTTGATAGAATTCGAGGTCGTTTTTCTTCTATTTTCCTTCGATTTCTCGGGAATCAAACGGGAAGAATGCGAATTCAGAGTTTCTCAGAAACATGAATTGCAAATCCAAAGAGAAATCTAGAGAAAGAGAGAGAGCTTACATTTGTATAACGTTATAGTTTGCGCGCGCACAGACACAGACCTTAGCTTAAAAAACCCTAGCTTGAGCTGAAGGTTTCTCCTAAGCAATGGATCGGACCGGTTCGTTTTTACTTTGAAGTTTAGGCTAAGGGCTCGTTTGTCAATCATCTCTTTTAGTCAAAAAATTAAAAAGTTATTAAATTAGTCAAAAAGTTAATAATTCAAATTAAAAGTCAAAGATTCTCTTTTCTCTTTGCATTTTATACATCTTTTTGTAAAAAGTCAAAAAGTCATCCCAAATATACTAGTTTTTTTTAGCTTCCTACTTTGAATCGTTTAAATGCTAGGTCGTTCCCCTCAAGTGACGCGTTGCGCCTGCCTCCGGGTGTTTCGAAAAGTGAGCAAGGGGCGCCGCATCGACGCCTGGGTGCGGTGAAAAATGGGCAAAGGTTTCCGCGTTTTTCTGGACGAGCGCGGGTAAAGAAGGTAGTCCAAGACTATAGGTTTAGGATAGCCACTTGGAACATAGGAACCTTAACTGGTAGGACGATGGAATTAGTAGATGTTATGATTAGGAGGAGAGATAGTATAGCTTGCATACAAGAAACTACGTGGACGGGTGAGAAAGCTAGGGAAATTGAGGATACTGGTTTTAAACTTTATTATAGTGGTAAGGATAGATGCAGGAATGGGGTAGGAATCATAATTGCCACGGGTCTTGTGGAAAGTGTGGTGGCGGTCATTAGGAAAGGAGATAGGATTATGCTAGTTAAATTAGTTATTGGAGGGAATATAGTGAACATTATTAGTGCTTACACCCTTCAAGTAGGGTTAGATGATCAGACTAAGAGGGATTTTTGGGAGCAAATGGATGAGATCTTACAGGAGATACCCGTAGGAGAGTACCTGGTTATAGGTGGAGATTTTAATGGCCATGTGGGCATAGATAAAGTAGGTTATGAAAGGGTGCATGGTGGATACGATTTTGGTGACAGAAATGAGGCTGGAGAGAGAATCTTAGATTTTGCGTTGGCTTCTAACCTGGTGGTGGCCAATACTATATATAAGAAGAGGGAGGAGCATTTGATAACCTTTAAGAGTGGATTAGTTAAGAGCCAAATAGATAATTTCTTAGTGAGAAAAGTGGACTGCCTAAAATGCAATGATTGTAAGGTGATCCC